AACCGGAAACCCCAAGCGACAGCCTATAATTTGCAAATTTAATTTGCAACACACGCCAACATGTGACCCCAAAACGGCAAAATGTTATAAATAATGTGCAGTTGCAGTTGCAGTTTTGCAGTTTTGCAGTTTTGCAGTTACCAACTCTCCATCGGATCGTAGGTGTCCAGTGTGGCTTACCTTAAACTAGAAATGCTCGGCTTATGAATGGAGCTGTGGCTCATGAATGAAATCAACTCTCTGGGGCTTGGTCTGGGTCTTGGTTGCCTGCCCCCTGCTCCGCTCTGTCTGCCATATGTGTATTCGATTGCCTGCCTGGCATAGGCAACAATTTTTTATGCAAATGAAAAACGCGTTTTGCGGTTTTTCAACGAAAAACCAACCAATTTCATATGAACTTCGCTTATAGTATTTTTTTTGTCTATCACTCCTTTGATTTTGCTATATTTAAATGATTGTGGTTTTGGATTTGGTTTTTATTGAGGGTTTTTTTTTTTTTTTTGTTTGTGTTTCAGGTGCGTGGGTTGCCACTGGGTTCCACTGTACGGCGTCGACAGGTTAACCCCTAAGGTGTGGGCGTGATTCTAGCAAAGATCAAGAAGTCCACTTAAGTGATAGTGAAAGATTGGGATCTGGGAAAGGGGGTTACCAATGTATCTTAAAGATGGAAAAATATGATAAGTGGAATATTAAGAATCTTGGAAAAAAGATTAACAAATCTAAAAATATGAGAGGAAGAAAATTATTTAAATTTAATTTTGATCCTTGAAAAGTCATTCAAAAAAGCTTGTTAATTTTGTGATTTTACCATTAACTACAATTTACTTAATAGACACGTTACATTAGCCATTCGAATTGTCTCATTCCCTTAATGACTTCTAAGCCATATTTAATAACCAATAAATCCCACGTTCTAGTCTTGCCTTCGGCTTCTGAGTTAAGCTTATATTTTTAGATCCGTGATGGCAATTTATTCCAACGTTGAAAGTTGTCAAAAAGTTTACACAAATTATAACTTAACTCGAATGCAAACCGCAGAAACCAAAAATCAGCTCACATGCTGTGGCTTTCGATATCTATGAGTAGAGATACATTTTAGAGTTCGAAATCGATTTGATTTGATTTTGGCCAGCGGCGCAGACTTGGCGCCAACTTCCAGACCGCAGGTGACAATGCAAAATAGATAAATAAAATAATAATAATCAAGTTGACCTATACAAAGCCATTTGTGGCACACTTTTTCGACCCACACACATATCATATGCTAATGCCGCTAACTTAACGCAACTTTTGATTTAGACCAGTTCAGTTCGATTACGAGTATGTTTAGTCGCTGTGACGAATCTAGTAGGATAAGGTAGGCAAACCATTATGTAAATGGTGGGGAAATGTGTTGAGGGGGAAATGCAATCCATCAACAGCATTGTGCCACCAACAAAGTCTGGCCGGGAGCAATCACAATCTTGCCTCCCATGTAAATGGCAATTAAGTTGCCGTCGTCGCAGTCGTGAACTTGTGAACCATTCCAAAAGGCATCACCATCCTCATCGTCATCATCATCATCATTATCAGGTCTGCGAGTCTAGGAGGAAGTTCAGTTCCATTTCCATGTCCAATGGTTCCTGCAATTAATCGCAGCTCAAGTGGCTCGCTGATTGCAATTAATCTTCATTAAGGCCAATGCCTGCAAATTCTCAAACAGATGCCCGTTTCTTTGGAGATGTCCTTTGGCCCAGGCATTTGACACACAGGTCTTCTCTTACTTTTCCCTCTCTCTCTCACAAAAGCGGCTACGAACGGCTTATCCTTACAAACCAATTTGGTGATCGTGAGGTGTTGTTGTCGTTGGCCCAAAACCACAACAGCAACACCAGCAACTGCAACAGCAGCGGCAGCAACATCGCCAGGTGACCGCACAGCAATCACCTTAATTAAACATTAGGCAAGCCTCGCTGAGTGCCAAGCTTCTGGAGATTGTGTTTGTGCTTGGCTTGGTTTTCTTGCCTCGCTTTGGCTGACTTGACTGCTGTGGTGTGGTCCATGTCAGCGATTTCCGTTCGGCGCAGGGTAACAAAGGTTGTGCTGCCGCAAAGCACAGTGGTTTTAGCTTTGGTAAGAAGAAATTGGTAGGAGATCAGCGATCCTTAAACTATATTTTTCTTACTACAAAGTTTGTTTCTGAACGCAGTACAAATATTGCCTTAAAATAAGTTATATTAAGATTACAAAGACTTTCTTAATCAATCTTGATCGAAACTTTTAGCCAGGTTTAAGACCATTTCAATACATCAGTTAAGAACTTCTTAAGAACTTCAAGAACACCTAAAACCAGTGTGGCTTTTGCACATTGAGCCCGGATGGTTGCCTTAATTTTCTTGCAGTTTTCTTGGCTGTTGGCTTTCATTCGTTCGTGTTTGTTGTCGGCGGTGTCAACGTCGCCTCTCGTTGACAAATGCTGAAAGGCTTTGGGTGCGAGTCTGTCTGCGATTTTCATTGGAAAACGTGGAACGATCACCCAGGTTGATTTGACAAAAAGGAGGCGAAAAGCTGAGTGAAATAAAATAAACGGGTCACGTTATTAATTGGTTAACCCCTTGCCAAGAGATTTATGAATATTGATTGCCAACGAAGTGCAGCAGCAGCAGCAGCAGCAGCAGCAGCATTGCCAGCTGCATTTGGCCATGGGCATGGGCAAATTCGCTCCCAGATTGAGTCAGCTTCCTGTCGATTAGGGTCACTCAGGCAGTAGAAGTCTTGAATGCTTGAAATGCCCCTCGGTCAGCCGGGGTCATTTCCTGGCTAATTAGTTGCCATGAGAGATTTGTTTTTATTTTTTGCTATTGTTTTTTCTTGCTGCCTGCTCTCCATCGGCAATTAAGCGCCGTCGCATATTTATGATATTAATTAATTAAGACAATTTGTGTGGCGTGTCTTGATCTGTGGAAATACGAGAACTGCGTTGGGCTTGTCTTTAATTTTGCCATAAATGGCATTGGATCCCAGGAGAATGGCAAATGGTGAGCGATCTAACTTGAGTTGCTTTTAAATTTGTGAAGCATAACTCGTTTAGGAAATCGTTGTAAATGTCAAGATTTAAATGTTATTAAATCAGAGTTTTAATCGGTAGCTTAAAGAACGTACAAAACTAATAAATGAGGTTAAGTTCCGCTCCTTTTTGGGCTTAAGAAGAAGTTGGCGAGTTAGACACATCACTCACTGTATTAAAATTATTTGGTATTAAAAGTACAGTTATTATTATTAAATGTTGCTTAATAATCGTCATAAATTGGCAAAGAATTGACAATTAAAATTAAAACGGAAAACGAATTAAAAATTCCAAAATTACTCAAACCTGATTCTCCCCCTAAAAACAGTGTTAAAGCCAAAAATGGTCCCAATATGGATCGGCAAACCTCGATAAGCTTGTATTTGGATTCCTAATCGATTTGAGCTTAAAGCTAAACATTTTGTGTTCTGGAAAGTTTTTGCAATAAAGGGGAAGTTATGGGAAGTTTTAGTCGTTTGCTGTATAAAATAGTTTCTTGATTTAGCTAGACTTAATTCTAGCTTAAAACCAAAGACAACATAATGTATATATGGCTCAGAAATCAGGTTTTTAGACAATAATTTAAGCAATCGCAGCCCTTTTACTAGTCTTCTAGTACTCCCTAAAAATCAGATTGGAATAAGTTCTCAATTTAAATAGAAATATCTCTACAGCATTCGAAATTGCAATCCCTTCCGCTTCATGGTTGACATTTAACCGCTTGGCAGCCAATCTTTTAATTGAATTCGAAGCGGAAATAGCACCGTTAGGCCTCGATCGAAACCACAAGACAAGACGTATATAATTTAATTTGTACGCACTGTGGCGCGCTTCCCAGCGCCAACATTGACACACTTTGGGTGGTCTTGGCGCGCTGACTTAATTTTGGCAAACCTAAAAGCAACCAAAACACAGAAATTCGAAAACATCACGTCGAATTCGAGGCGAGTAATCGATGAGACGTGCGATGGCAGCGGTGTGTTGCATCTGTGTACATATGCCACCTGTTGAAAGGGCGCAGTCGGCAAGAGCAACAACAAAAATAAGTGTTCAAGTCCCTCCGGCCGACGCACTGCATCATTTGCAGCTGAAATTTCAATTTCAGCCTTTTGGCAGCATTTCAAAAGAGCGACTGCTGACTGACTGAATATGCCGGGCCGGCCAAACTCAAGTAGACGGCGGGCGCCAAGGCGCCAGCGAAATATGTTTGCCAGCTCGAACGGCATTAAAGTGCGCGAAAATCTCATTTTATTTCTATTTTATTTATTGAGCCATTAGAGAGGGGCGCAGGAGTTTCGCCTGTCAGCTCATTCACAGATTAATTTTGGCAATTTATAGCCGGCGAGATAGTTTTTGAGTAACTGCATCCATGGACATATTTGCAACATTGGAGTGCGCCCCGAAACCGTGAGTTATGTAATGATGTAATGAGCTGGGGAGTATGGAGGGGAGGGAGGGAGGAAGGCTGCGAGGGAAAATTGACTTCCATGTTGGCGACAGACTAACAGAAATGTCACGATACCCTGGGAAAATGAGCCGTCGGGTGTGAGTTATTGATTGGTATTTTTTTTCTGGGGGAAGGGGTTGGAAAATTGGTAAATTTTTAACCATTAAAAATATTTGAGTTAAATGCAATAGCTTAAATTGCTGATTGACGCCGAACATGAAGGAGTTTCTTAGTCGCTGTGTTCGAATTAATTGAGTTTTTTTGATGGTTTTATTTATGGGAAAAACTATGGTTGCATGGCAGATAGTTTACATTTTTATATAATTATTTTATGTTCTGTTTTGAATCAAAAAACCATTTAATATTGATATTTTTAGAATATTAATTTATTATATTTTTTATATAAATATATATTTTCTAAAAGAGTTCAACCCAAAAAGTCTAAGAAAGGCATTAAAACCGAAATCTAGCACCCTCAGAAAATGTTCTTCTAAAATCTATAAATGGCCTTACATAAACCCTTCTTCGATGACCTTATTTCTTCCACAACTACAAAACATAGTTAAGTAAAGACCCATATTAGTGTTCCAAAGCTGTCCCATGAGTTGATCACTCACCTGTGCCATTGCTGCCGAACCAGAGGGCAACTAGGTCCTCGCTTGGCGGCGTATGGTGGTGATAGGGATTGCCGTACAAATAGGGACTCGGGTAATCGAGCAGAACACGACGCGAGCCGGGCGATGAGGACTCGGCTACAGGGGGGTCAAATATATTGGAGTAATGATGGCTGATCTGGGATGTTAAAGAATGGATGGCTTTTGAGTGCTTACCCTGAGCTAATTGAGCGGCATATTCCGTGGCCTTTTGCAGATTGATTCGCGGTCGCGGCTTGGCAAGAATTTGTTGCTGTTGCTGCTGCTGTTGTGGTTGCACCACCGCTGTACTTTGCTGTTGTTGTGGCTGTTGAATGGATTGTTCTGTAGTCGGTGGAGGATTATTAGCTGCCGCTGCTGCTGCTGCCGATGAGTCCAATAGCAGTTGCTGAACTTGCAATATATCTACGTATTCATCTAGTTCCACGGGAGGTTGTTGAGCGGCAGCCTCAGTGGTTGCCGCCGGATGAGGATGATGATGTAGTGGTGGTGCAGCAGCACTACCCGTCTGATAATAACCAAAAGCAGGTCCCGAAGCTGTGCTACTGGCAACGGCAATGGGTGGTGGTGCCGGTGGTGGAGCAAATTGCAGAGGATTGCGACTGAGTCCTAGTAGAGGCGTTGTGGGTGTATTCAGAGAATCCTGTGAAGCTGTTTCCGTAGAACTAGCTGCTGTTGAAGGCAGCAAACTAAGATTTTGTCCAGGCGGACTTGCCACAGTTGCTGCTGAAGTGGAAGCTGTTTCTGGTGCAGTGGCTGACGAATGCTGTTGGCTACCTACAATCAGTTCATTTTGACGCCGCATTGTCAGCAACATTTTTGTGGTTTAGCGCGTTGCACGTTGATCGGTTTGAAAATAAAACAAAATATTTCGAAAACAAAAAACTTAAACACAAACGATTTAACCGAGACTCCATTTGTTTGTTGAGCGATCACTTTTTTCGGTTAATTTAATTTAAATTGACACATTTTTTATGCTTTGTTCACGGTTTAGCTGCGGTTAACTTGATTGATTTTCACTGTGTTTCTTGTTTTTAACGATCGAATCAGTCTTGGCCAATTTACTTTGATTGTATTTTCAGTTGATTGAAGTTTTCGCAAAAGCTGGAAAAAAACAGAAATATTTGAAATATTTTATAAAACAATTAAGCTATAATTTTAATTTTTAAAAATATTCCCTTTTACCTTTTCTCTTAATAATATTTTTTTGTTTGCTTTGTAAATCTTTGTTTCACTTAATTTTATTTATTATTTTGTTAATAAAAACACCAAAAAACATTCATAAAAAATGTTTACAGTATATATCCACTACACTACAGTAAACACTCAGATTTGAATAATCACAATAAGACACTTAGAATATGAATTTGTATATATTATTATTTTCCTAAAATTGACCCTCAAAAATACACATTTAAATGGCTTTCAAAAATGTTGAGCTAAAATTTTCACTTTGCCGTCGGCAATTTATTTTCATTTCATTTTCATTTCTTTTATTTTCTGGCATTTAAAGTTTGCCAAAAAATCTGTCGATCATTTTTCACACTGTTGTTTTGAATATTTTTGCTTAATTTTTAATAAATATTTTTGATTTTAAAAATATGATTTTGATTAATTGTTTTTGGCTAGACGCGCGCGATTTTTGAGATTTTTGTTTTTCGAGAATTTTTTTTGGCCAAAAATTGCGAGACGAGCCGTTGAGCCGTCGAAACGCTACTGGCGCGAGCGGTGAAAATTGAAAATGAAAATGGGAAACTCGGGCCATCGGTGAAAAAATCATGAAAACAGCGGCAAATCGGCTGCGTCGGCGTCGGAAGCATCGGAAAATGCCTGAAAATGTGTGTTTAGCTTTTGGCCATCATCTATTTGCCGCCCGAACGCTGTGTGTCTCAGCCTGTGTCTGTGTGTTACTTTGATTCTTATTTGTACTGAAGCATCTGACTCTCATTTTTGGCCCACACACATACAAAAGGCACTTACATACATTTCTCTCATTTTGTTGCCCAATTTCCCTGGCCATGAGTGTGTGGGTGGCTGTGGAAAGAGAGTGAAAAGCAGCATTTCCGATTCCGAACGGAGCAAATGTCAACAATTGTGGGTGGCACTCGGGAGAGTGTGTGAGAAGCGATGAGCATCGAAGAGATGAGGCCCAACAAAAAAAAATAATCAAATGAAAATTGTTTAGCACTCGAAGAGAAGAGGAAAATTGTGCCAGTGAACTTGCCAAAGTCGACGTAATAGTTGTGCATTATTGCATGTGTGTAATATAGCAAAAACGTATTTCCCTTATCAGTGGGGATGATAAGTTATCAGAATCTTGGCTTTCACTTTCCATAGCCATTGGCGTCATCACGGGGCGTATGAGTAATTTATGGTAATTATCCATACGCCTAGTCTGCCAGTTCATTGGAGATACTAAGTACAGTTGAACTTGTAGAACTTGAACTATATTTTAGAGGAGTTTTAACTTATATTGGTTTATTAAGTTACTCATACTTCTAGTCGTTTATATTTATTTAAAAAAGTTTAAATTCGTGGTGCTAGAAATTTGAATTTTCTTTCCTTTTCTAGTTTTCCTCTGATTTTTCTATATATATTCTGTTATTTGATATAAAAAAGTCTATAATTTAATGTTAAATTGCCTAAAGAATCTTTTTCCTTCTTAGAAATAAATCCGAAGCATGTGAACTTATCAGATGGCTCCTTAACTTATTGAAGTTCACTTGTTTACCGAAAGAGAAATCCTACGTTTAGCAACCTATCGCTTATCAACTGACATTTGGCCGAAAAAAGTTGCGGAATTCCATGAAATCCAAACACTCGAAGGGCCAAAACACCGAACTTCTAAAAGCCAATGGAAAAACAGACAACATGCAAAATGCTAAAACGCCCCCGTTCGTGGCAGCAGCCTCATAAAATGGCAATTAGAGTTGCACAGTGGCAGCGTCGTCCCTGCGATGACATTTAAAGGTTAGAGGTTGCCAGCATCAATCAAAAGGCAGCCATGGCAGTTCCCTTTCCATTCCCCCTCGCTTAAGGTGAAACAAAAGAGCAATAATAATAATAATAATAATGAAAGGACAGCGACTAGGCAGGTGGAAAAACGGGAGGAACACTTTCCCTGGCTTCGGGGCTTAGCACATTAAGTTTATCCAAGCTTGGACCTGTTGATTGCCTGACTTTATCTAGCAAATATGCTCTACTTCTGCTTCAATATTCTAGTGGAAATCATTTCTGGCGTGGGTGTGTAAGAAAATGCTCGACTAGGATGCTAATAGATGCGATTAAACGCCCACAATGTCAGATACCATTGACTAGGAGACGAGCATGAAGTGAGGGGCAGGAGATTGGTAGCCTAGCTAAACAAAAAAAAAACAAGGCAGTGGAATTTTATGGAATTTCTTAGTATTTTTTGTCAGTTTTTAAGTTTTATTACTCATACGCAGTGTGGTCATCAATATATACTTTGATTCGAAATTTTAACAAATTAACTAATTTGTAAAACATAAAAAGACTTTCCATAATCCTAATCACCCTCATCGACTGATTTATCCCACTGTACATTGGCAACCTAGAAGCTACTCGAACTTTCCACTTGACAAGAGCCTCGGGAGCCTAGATACAGGATGCTGGTGCTTTGCCCTTTTCCCAAAATGCCTGCCACGTGTGTGGGACGTCCTGTTGCTTATCCTGTTGCTCTTTGCCGCCAGACGGCCAATAAAGGAGGAAAAGTTCTAGGTTCATATTCGGAAAATTGTATGAATGAAAGCGGAAAATGAATTGAGCTTATCAATGAAAAAAGCTTCGCTCAGCTTGGATTTCATTCATGAAACGTCCTTCGTTCTGTTAATGGAATAGAGAGCCGTTGAACTACAGAAGCTTCCTTCTTTGTTATCCGTTTGAACTTTGGTATTTGTGGAGTCGAACTCGAACGTTTTAGGGGTTCACTTCCAAATGTCAGATGTTACTCCATTTTAACCGCACAATTTTGCTACGAAGCTTTAGCCGGGAGCCATTACGAACGTAGCTGTTCTTAATTAGCCAGGCAATTTTAACTTGTTGCAGGAATTTTGCGGCTCCCGATTGCCGGTTGACCTTAAACCAAAAGCATTACCCCTTCCTCACACACCACATATTTCTGCATTCAAAGAAAAGCACATGTGTGTGCGTGTGACGTTTAACCTTTCAATGTGGCAGCGCTAATTGATTTGTTTTATGCACGTGTCGCTCTCTCCTGGAGTGGGAAGTTTCATCGCGTGGGACCCGCATGAAAACGTCTTTTGTTTTTTCAAAATTAACAAGCAACTGAATAAGAATTTTCATTTTGTCAAAAGTCTTGTGTTGAAAGAGAGGGGAGGGCAAGTCTTGAGGGAGGTACCATTAAACCGTATTTTTGTTACTTAAAAATGTTGGAAGTGAGGCTAACAGATGGTTTCTTTAAACTTACAGGAAGTGTTTTTCAAATCAACTAACTAAAAGCTTTGTATGTCCATCGTGATTTTATAGGTTCGTACAAAAAAGTTAGACTTATTTTAAGACACATCAAACTTTCCTTTGACATTTCATAAACTTCTCGAAGCTTCCAAGATAGCATTAAAAACCTGGTTTTCTTTGAATACCAAACTGGCCTTATCTGCAAATCCTGTTTGGTAATAACTGTCTGAAAGTTTCTTTAATACAAAATGATCTCATTCGAATTAGGTTTTACTTGTATTAAAATTTAAGACCAAAGTATCAAGTGTCTGTAAGTTTAATACTTTTCACAGCTGCCCATAAAGTTCATTACATTTAAAAGCCATAAAAGTTATATTTATCTTTCTATATACTTTCAAACTAAATATAATTGGTATTAATTACATTATTAAGTAATAGCCAATATCAGGAAATCATGAAAGAAGAACTCATCACTGAGAGTAAACCTACCATCACCTATTATACACTAGTTCTAAAAACTAGATAAGCCTGATAAAGACATTAATTAAATCTAGAATTTTGTCATTTGAGTACCAATAACAATTGCTCTAATATTGCCACATTCCTTCCTTCAACTTAAACTTACCTAATTACTTTTAATAACATTATTTGACATTAAAATTATTGAAATAAAAAAAGCAAAAACGCTATTATACTTAAAGTTTATTGATAAATAAAAAATAGAGCAATATGACAGTTATAAATTCGATAGTGGACCAATTTTCATCTACACAAATATGAGAAAACTTAATTTTCGTTCCAATTAAAGGCCATTAGAGGCCATAACTGACGACCAAGAATCTACGCCCCGGCCAGTTGTAACCATTAATATACTTGTTTAGATGCCGAATGGTGGATATGTCTGGGCCATATAGTCAGACTCTGGCTACTTACCGGCTATAAAAAGGCAATCAGATGTCGTCGATTTCACAGGCAAGAACCGGCGACAACAGAGCACGCAAGAGTGCTCAGAAAGCTAGTCCAAGGAATCAAGATTTGGGCGCGTAAATAGGCAGGATCGTTGTTGTTGATTCTTCTACAGTTTTTCCTCAGTATTTTGTTGCCGGCCAGGGTAAAGAAGGGGGCAGAGGGTCTCGCGACTGCGTTTGTAATTAATTACGAGGCGGGCCAAAAGGCGAACGCACGCGCGACTTACTGCAACGGCAGCAACTACTGCCAACTGCAACTGCAGATGGCCAAGGAGCGATAAGATCCGGCTATAGAACGTGGCCAAGTCAAAGGAAGCGACGGAGCTACTGCGATTACGCGAAAGATATCCACCCGGGGCCTGTAATCGCGATCTTTTTGGTTTGGCTCTGAAAACTCGTTGCCGGCTTCTTTCGCAGATTATGCAATTTTGATTTGAAACACGCAATTTTGATGGGATGGTTAAGATATTCTCCAACTCTCTCGGCTATCATTCGGTTTTAATTCGCTTAACGATCTCATGCACAGGGCGCGTAAATCGAAGCCCTTTTCTTTATGGCTTAACCGCAATGCCACCAACTTATTAGATGATAATTTCCTTCCGGTTGCGATCCGTTTACTTTTTTTTGCGATTCGACTCGACGTCCGACTGTCGGCGGTATAAAAAACTATATGGTTTGCTTTGCTTTGCAGCGCTGCCTTGACTGTTTTTCGCCTCGGTTTCACTGTATCTGTACAGTGTACATGGTTTTGTGTATCTGTATCTGTGTTTTGGGGAATTGCAGAGTGTGTGAGTGTGTGTGTGTGGCAAGTCGTGGGCCGATCATCGCCTTACTTAGAGATCTGTCGCCCAGTTGAGATGCCTCGTCTTAGTGCTGTTGTTGTTGTTGTTGTTGTTGTTAATGCCGTGTGTGGGCACAACTGTACATGCGAACGGGCTAAGATAGCCGTCCCTGTCGCACATATGAGCGGAGGATTGCCGGTGGGGCAACAAACACTGAACAACAAACACCTAACTCAGGAAACCACACACACAACCCCCGCAACAACGCCCCAAAGTGCTTTTCTCTCTCGCTGAGCTTCTATCGCCCAGTGTATAAGCCTGTAACACCTTTGGATTACTCTTAAGTCGTTTTCTTACACTTGAAGGAAATTTTGGTAGTAGTCCTTAAGCTATAAGCCTTAAAAATTAAGATCAAAAGTTGTCAAACTGGATCCTTATTTTGGAGTCTTTGATTAAATCTCAGCTTTCTTTTATCTTTTCTTTATGTAAGTTTAAGAAATTTGTCTTTTATTTAGGAAACTAAGCTTGAAGTAACTTAGGTTTATCATTTTAAAAAAGCTAACAAACCCCTTTAAATATAATTTCCTGACGATTTGCGTCGTGCTTTTTTACAGGAATCTGAATTATCCTGATTTTATTTTTCTTCTAAAAAAGCTTTTTAGCTAAAAATAAATTCAACGCCAGCTTTACCACCCTTTACAGTTTTTGAGAATGTCACTTAATCGGCTTAACTTTTTAGTTCTTTTAGCTAAATGGACTCTAATTAGCTTTTCGAAGCTATTAAAAGGTCAATCAGGTTGTTAAGGGATTAGGACCATTGACTAATATTAAATATCTAAATACAAAAATTAATTCTAGTATATACTAAAACATTTTTCTTACATAAGGAAGTGAATAATATAAAACTAAAAAATTTAAACCATAAAAAGCTTAATTTGCTAAATATTCCTTTCCTGCAATATTTCAGTTTTGGCTTTAAGTTGTCGTATTTTTTTCTAAGTGCACCAGAGCGTGCCAAGTTCTGAGTGTGTGAGTGTTCATGTGGGCTTTTCCTTAGTCGAAAAGCCCACACACTTGGCCAGCACTGCTGATCTCAACCCTCTCCGAAGATCTGAGACCCTCTTAATATCTTTATAACCGTGCTTAGCAGGATACTTTTGACATTTGCGTCATTCGCTGCACTTGTGCAAACATATTTTAATACGTTTTTTTTGTTCTTTTAGGTGCAGCGAACTTCGAGGGTTTTCCGAGAATCGCCAGAAATCGACGTTCATTAATCAATCCTGAAAGCTTTTTGCTGGAAAGCTGGACATCTAAAAATAACAGCAACGAAAGCTAACTGGCCGTCCGACGAAAAGCTTGGCGCCCCCTTAGAAAAAAGCTTTAGGCACCCACACATACACACACACCAATACAAAATTAAGGGGTCACGTGGGTGGTTTCATTGATGAATTCGTATCTCTACCTCTCGCTCTAACAGCTGACTGCAAATTGAATTGCAAAAGACTGCAGCTGTAACTGCACAGAGAGTGAGAGAGAGGGAAGGGTGCAGGTGGAGAAAGGTATGGAGAAAGAGATAGAGCTAACACAAAAGAAAGAGACAAGGAGTCAGCCCCTCTTTGCACTGCTCCACTTTAAATGGGATGTGGGTGTGGATCAAGCCAGGCATTAGATTGTGAATGAAAAACTCAAAAGAGACGGCAAAACTGGGCTAGAAAGAGACACAGCCATACAGTTGAAAACGCCCACTAAGCTCTTCTCACACACACACACACACACAAGCACATAGCTTGACTTCTAATCATATTCATATTTAACCCCCTTAGCCATTCAAAAAACTCGACTTCATTCATTCACAAAATGTTTATATATGGAAACTTGTCAATTAGTTCAAGTGTCTTACACTGAGCGCAAAACCTAAGCCCCCCAGTCAAATTAATTATACTTAGCCATAACGCCCACATGGCCATTTGACATTTGTACTCTTATTAACTGTAATTGCTCATTCAGAATGTGACACAAACAACAGCAATAACAACAGGCCAGCGCAATTAGCTCACACCTTATAAGGCTAATACTTAGTCGGGGAGATAAATTTGAAAAATGGCACTATGCTTACGTATACGTATAGAACAATGGTGACCCAAATTTTGGTTAGAAAACATAAATGGCCTAAGAAGCTTATCGCGAAATTCCACTGAAATCTAATCTTGCAGTAAGTTTTTAGAGTATTTTTTTTTAAAATTTTCTTTTATAATAATTAATATTAGAAAAGTGATTTTAAAAGGTTTTCTTTTACAAAATATCCTGCCATATGATAAAGTTTAAATATTTTAAAAATTCAGAAGTAATGTTGAGTAAAATCTATTAATATTAAATCTTGTGATAAAAAATTCAAACTATGGGGCTTGGCTTCGGACTCTAAAGTCATGAAAGTACAAACCGCGGGTTAAAACCCGGGCGTTGCGCATCATTACAAATGCGCCTTGGTACGTTAGAAACAAAGCCCTAGAAGATGACCTCCACATTCCCTCCGTTAGGGAACAGATAAACAGGCACTCGAGTCGGTACAACGATCGTCTCACAGCTCACACCAACCACTTAGCTTCTTTGCGGGCTAATGCAACTATCAGAAGACGTCTAAATCGAAGGCACCCAACTGATCTCTGGCCAAGATGACGCCGAATTTCTCGAGTCCTAAAGCAGTAATCTAGCTTTAGTATTGAGGTTTAATAAATGTATTTTTATATTATCAATATTCCATCAATAACTTAAACTCATTACTAATTCATCTTTCATCACTTTAATTTCTTGATTATCTTTTAAAATTCCGAAACCCCTTAAACCTCTTTTCTTAGTCAATCAAACATCATTGGCGCTTGATTGACCATGTTAAATCCTTCACATCAACTGACGGTGGCTTCCGTTTTTAACACCATTTAATGAATTAATGAGAGACTCTTTAAGTTCTTCAAAACCTCGCAGATTGAATATATATATATACCTTAGGGCTATGCAGATGACGACGACGTTTGTAGCTTCTTGATGGCTAAGAAGGGGCTGCTCATTAAATGGCAACTCCTCTGCCATTTGGCTGTCAGTCACTCATTCAGTCACTTATTCATTCATTCATTCATTCCCTTGGCAGACAATTTACAAAACGCGTTCCATTCATTAGCATTGACTGTTAACTGATGTAGTTGTTGCTTACCAGATGGTTACCCTGGACAACTCCTTTGAATGGGTTTTTTCTTTTTACTTATATTTAGTTGGCTTTGACCAGGGGCTGTTAACAAGGTGTTTAGTTTTTAATTGAATTGCGTTTAAAATTAGTGAGAAACGCCCAAGTAACGCATTTTTTGTTAAGGGGAAACTTCTTTATTACCAACTTTCTATAAAAGGGAATTTAGTTAAGAAATTTATATTATTAAAATAAAAAAAATGGTTAAGTACGTAAAAACTTAAATAAGTAAATCTAACTAAAGAAAGGCAAAACCTCTTTTCATTATGATTTTTCCCAAAGTAAGATTTCCCCCTCATTTGTGGTATCCACTTACCAAATCATGCTGGTGGTCTGCTGATTCGATTTTTTGATAATTTAATGGCCTAGAAAATTTCCGTTTCCAAGTCGTAAATTTTCAAAAAACATTTCAATTGGTCTGTGGTTTGTCTCTGTGGCTGCGTGTGTTTGTATGTGGCCCTGCGGCATTTGTTTTCATCATCATCAATATCGTCAACATCTTTTCTGGGGGTCCAGATACTTATGCATCTAATAGGTGGATATCTAAGGTGACACTTTTATTTCGATCGGATTTGCCTAGCTTCTCCTGGTGATTTACGATAACGTGTTTCATTCATTTTATGCAAATTTCATTTTGGTTTGAAAATTTATTAGAAATATTTTTCTTTCCTTTGTTGGTGGTCATATTTATTGGGCATTTTCTCAATTTATATTGTTTTATTGGTCAGGCCACACAGGTCGATGGTCTAGAGTTTCCACTTCTCTACGTCTTGGGTGAACATCTCTCATAATAATCATAGGCGAGGGATCTTGGATTAACAGCTTATAATTCTTTAATTAATAAATATGACACTGCCTTGCCTGTATCATAAATCTTGAAATCTGGCTGAGTTTCACACCGCAACGAAGAGCTGTATAAAATTTCTATCAATTTTTGAGGGCAACATAAAAATTTGCAATTTCAATTAGTGCAACGCCCTGGAAAAAAAATCGTATGCCTGCATTGCTGGTGAACTATGTCACATAAATCATAACCAACACGGATCTTATTCTTCTTGGCCTGGCGTCAAGCTCACTTCCTGTGCCCCAAAACAACGTACAAAAAATAAATGCGAAATTTAAATAAATAAATTGAGTTACCACCTCAAAATGCGCTTGTCAACAAGTTGAGCCTGGCTTTTTCATCGGTCTATGGTGTAAAAGTAATTGCCAGTTTGCCATTCCAATTACGAAAATTTCACCATTACCTCAATTGTTGGTTCTATGCAAATGGCTTTGGGTCCCCTTAGTTCTTCATGGATATATCCCATGGGTTTGCATAGATGATTGCCCCTTGCGATTTCTCTATTAGCCATAACCAGGGTAAATAGGCAATTGACTTGAAATTGGCAATTATTTTTTGTCTGTTTCGGAGACAGGCAAAAATACAACAACAAAAATAAAAAGTTAAATGGTAAATAGAGACTCAGACAGACGTCCATATGTGAATGCATTTTCCCCCTTTGCAACTTCCTCAACTTTGTTACCAGCCTCTGACTGAAGGCAGACTTCAGCCTCGTGAAAAGCCCAAGCGCATTATGAATGAATAATGTATGAATGAAAATTGCATGCACGTGCCCTCGGGCTATAAAATGTTGCACTCTTCGCTGATTTGGCTGCCGAAGTCTAAGAAGAGGCAGAACTTGGTTGCGATTGAACTCGGAAAAATGTTAGTTAAAGATTTGCGTTTAAGAGGTAGAGGAAGATTCCTTTATTTCTTTTTTATTAAATACAAATTTTGCCTTTTGAAATATTTTTTAAAATTTATTTTAATCATCTTTAACATATAGATTAATAAAATAATAATTACAGATTTTTCTGAATTTTTTTTTTTCTTATAAAAATAATCTTTCACCCCTTTCACTCCTTTGCTTAGAATAATTTATTTAAAGTTCAATATCTAAATCGAATTCCTATAACTTTTCCTAATAAGAACATTATCTTTAGCTTTCTTTTCGAGGCTGCAGCTTTAAAAATTGAAGTGATTTCCTTTGACCGAGACGAAACCCACGAAACCGATCTGATTCGAGCCTCGAAATGAGTTCGTCAAGTTCGTCACCTAAGTCTTTTGTTTCGCAGCGCCTCCGTTGATGTCTTCATTAGCGACGTCCAACGATAAGCCTGTTTAATGCTAGAAATTTGTTTTTAATAACCCCCCAAGCAAACGCTTTTAATTAATTGAGTGGAAGAAGAAAAAGTCTTTTGTCACAAAAAAAAGAAAAATAACCAATCGGCGGTAGCTAGACGATTTAAATGCAAATCCGAGCTGCCTAGTGAGTGCATCGGATCGTTAAGTTGCCTCAAGATATTCAATTTGGGCACTTTGCCGCGCTTCTTAAGCAGCATTGTTCGATGCAGTTATTAAATTTGACAGTTTACAGTTGGCGATAGCTTTGATGCCGGACCGCCGCCGCTGCTACTAAATTACTTCAAGTTGGTGTATTATCAGCAGCTTGTTTGATTTTCTGGTGCAGCGACGGCAGCAGATGAAAGGCGGCCACTGAGCCAAGGAAAGGCGGTAAGGAAAAGCGATTTCAATTAGCATTTTGATGGCTCTACAAATGACGGGGGGACAGAACAAAAATCGCCGCCATTGATAGGCCATTTGATAGCACATCATAAAGCAGGCGATCATTTGTCTATCGATCTGTTTCATTACACTGTAAAAAATAATAAAGTTTATTGTAAATTTAGTAAGCTCTTAGCTGATTTAATATAAAAACTTATTCAGAAAGTAATAAAATGAAAAATAGATTTAAAAAATCGTCATCTTTAACTGGTACTTAACTCGAAAACTTATAAAAATATATTCCTTGACTTATTCCTAATGAGACTCGTTAAACTCTGTATAACAAATTACTCTTTTAACTGCATTAAGGTTAAACATATTAATATTCCATAAAAATAATAATATTTCAATATTCTAATGGCTAACATTTTTCTTTCGTGCAAATAGACAAATTCATGAGAGAGGCGGCTTGCAGTTTGAATCGTTCACAATATTAAATCATTTGGAATTTATGATACGTCACGCGATTTTCGAAAGACACCAGCCATCAGCATGGCCTCCAACTGAGCCAGCTATGACAATCTTCGGGGTAATTAAGTTTTTGCCAAGTGACAAATTAATCGAACCGCGGCAATTGCCGCAATGACCGTCTGGGCCCAGGCCGCCTGGCATTAATCAATGAAATGTCAATTCAACTGCAACACGGAGATGCAATTTTACTTTTTACTTTATTTATTTTGTATTTTTTTGTAACCATTTTTGACCAAAAACAAATGACAGGCTGTGCTGGAAGTTCGAACAGGCATTCAGCGAACCAACGACAAGACACGTCAAGTTTTCGGTTTGGCAATAAAATTGTAAGCATTTATCTTGTAGTTCGTTGGCGTTGTTCAGCGAGGTCTTTGTATTGTGCGTAGATCCAAAATAGGGACTTACTTTTCACTCTTTTTGCATTACAAAAGTATTGAGTTACCAAACGATTTGTCAACGTTTAGCTAGTTATGCGTCGAAGGGGGGAAAACACTGGCACCGGATCCAAACATTTTGTTAGCTCGTTAAGATTTGTTGACACTCGTGTTAATGTTTTGTGTTATTTTCAGTTTTTTGTATATTTTTTTTCTTTAGCTTTGGTGGTGATGCAAATCAACTGGGCAGACCACCTGGAAAGCCAGTTCATGGCTGAAAAGCTTGTAGAAGAATAGCAATCGATTGGGTATTCTACGGCAGGAAATCGTAAATTTCTCTGAAAATGTTGTCAACTTACTTGGTCCAAAGGAAGTCCTAATTAACAAAGATGACTTTAAGTAGTTAGTCGTGGTCTTAAAATAAAGTTTAAATTTTTACTGCAATTCGCGTTGAGATTTATAGAAAGAATTTTTGACTTCAAATACATTTTTCTCTTGAAACGCAAGACTTTTTCTTACTTTAAAAATCCAAACATTTAAAATTGTATTTTTTAGAAATCCCCTAATTGATCACCGATCATTACAAGCTCTAATTCCACCTTAACCATGAAAACAACAGCCACTGCTTTTCACCAACTTAAAGACAATATCAAACGCTTGCCGCTTCGTCTTATCGCCGTATTTATGGTCAGGGCAATCGGGACTTATCCGACACAGTACACCACTTAAGTTTTTTTTTTGGGGACCTTTTATGTTTAATTTAATTATGGTAAAATCAGTCCACTGGCTGCATTTCGTTTAATTTGATTCGTTTCGTTTTCATTAACAACGCCTGCTCTGCAAATCCATATAGTTATGGCTCCGAACGAATTAGGCCTAAAACTCGAGAAAATCCACCGCCGAATCATGTTCCAATTTCACCTTTACGTTCGTTACACTTGGCACAGGTTGTAGTGGAAAGGTCGTCAGTTTCCAAATACCATGACGAATTGACTGGCCCAGTGTCATGTTAAATAAAATTGATAGAGAAATTAGGCAAAGGTTTTCTTGAGTTGGCTAGACCCGCCTTTTAATTGGGTCGCATTAGTTTTGGGCCTTAAGTGGTGCATTTGTGAGGGAAATGCCTCTGCAATTAGTCAATTAATGAAAAACCCATAAATATGCGGCTAACATTCATCGATAGGTCTGTCTGATGCTCAAAAAGAGAGAGAAAAAAATCTTTTGGAAATGGCAACTGCATTTGGTCGATCTCTGGTCTCTGTTGGCCATAAATTAATAGTCCATTATTTCTAAATTTTTGTCCACTTCAAACTGTCGTCGCCGTGTCGCCCAAAGCCGACTGACTGCCCTCGTTTGCATTTTAATCTCTCGATGGGGCGATGTGGGCCACAAATTAGTCCAGACCTGACTTTGTGTTGACTTGCCAGTGCGGCCAATAATTTAGACCAACGAAGGCGATCGGCTCATGTAATGTCGAGAAAACGAAAGCAAAAATACGCTCTTTTTTCCGAGACTATGCCATAATTTTTCGAGGAGAAAAGTTATGTAAATCATTTTGTGGCTGCACATTTTTCAAAATTGCTTAATTTCCTTTGCATGCAAGTACGCATGGGTTAGAAAGGGCGAGGGATGGACTAGGATAAAATATAAAATATTTGACAGTCCAAGAACTTTGATTATTTTAACAAAGCTTACAAGTAAAGTTTTCCTTTAACTTTTGTTACTTTTTAAGTATAAGGCTAAAAAGCCTTCAATTTTATTTATTTTAATGTGCCAACCCTGAAGTCAGAGAGACAAAACCAAAGCCAAGACTTAACCAAAAGCCAAACTTTAGTACGTTTATTTTTTGCCAGCCAATAGTTAGGAAGTTCGGTGATCGGGGAACTGAGTTGGCCAGTCGGCAAAGAGCTTTGGGCACTTTGCGAACTCATTTTCCGACTCAATCAAATCAAATAATTTATGCCTCGCGAAATTAACTGGCCAAGTGAGTGGAGGTCATGCCATATGTGAGGAGAGTCCAAGAAGTTGGAGACTCTGGGGCCCAGAGCACAGTTAAATCTCTTGGCTGGCCATAAAGTGTGTTGATTTTTCCATTTGCCAGACCCTAAAGCGCTGCAATGCGAAATAAATAAATGTTTTTGGCATAGAGGAGAGCTCTCTGGAAAATTGCCTGCTATCTGGGTAGTGTTTTTAGAATGAAAATCTTTGCGTTTCTTTCATTTAGTGAGTGCGTTTTGTTTATTTACAATAAAAAAATATTACAAATTTTATGATAAAATATTAATTATATATACAATTTGTTGATTTTTTGTGTAATTTTTTACTCAAAATCAAACTCAAAGCCATCTTCCTGGTACTCGTACTCGCTGCTATCACAGGTGACCTGAACATATTTGTTGCACTGCCAGTGATAGTATTCCTCGGGTGTGAAGTTGCCCCACATCATGTCACTGAAGACTTGCAGGGGTCGTGGATTCCTCTCCTGATTCCTGATGTTCACCAACTTAGTGAGTTTCTCCCAGTTGCTGTGATAGCCATTCAAAGCCAAGTGCTCGAGATTAACACATTCGGCCACCATTTCCATGAGTTGATTTTCCCGAACAATCTCCCAGCCACTGAAACTGATCACCTCCATTTGCTGGCAGGGCATGTGCTTGGTCTCCAGGAAGAAATCGTTGTGGCACCAGTTCTCGCAGATCACCTTCCTCAGTTTAGGCAACTCAAGTAGCAGACTCTGTTGCCAACGAGCTGGCAGTTGCACTACTTCATTGTTCAGGGCAATCCTGGTGATCCTATCACTCTTAGCCACCACAATCTGCTGGAAGATGGTCTCCCGATCCGCATTCAGTTGCCGAGAATCATCGAATCTCACGGATAGTTTTTGCAACTTGGGCAGCTGTAGAACCTCCGACAGCATGCACTCGACAGTGCTCAGGTTGATCTTGAGAACTTCCAGGTTAGGCAATTTAATGTCTGTGATTCTGACGCAACTGTCAAACTGATCGGTGATGTCCAAGACCCTTAGTTGGGTCATATTCAGGCAGATCTCCTGCACCCAGCGGCTGTCCAACGGAACTGAGTGGTACAAGGAGTTGAAAATCAGTTCCTCCAACTTCTTGAAGCCACGCATATAGACACCAGAGAGGTTCATGCAGGTCATAAGGCGCTTAAGATTGGGCAACATTATTGTTAGATCCCTGATATCCTCATCGACCACAGAATTGGGGTTCCCGGCCAAAATGCAAGTGTCCACTTTGGGGAACTTTGTGATGTTAATGTCGCACAAATGAGTGATGTAATCGTAGAATTCGGAGAAGCAGCCGACGCCATCATAGACATGCAGATCAGTAAAACTATCAGCCATGTGCTCCATGAAGAAGACATAGTCCTCGATGTCCAGGAGTCCCAAGAAAGGTGTGTTTGGTCCAATGATCAGGTGTAAGCGCCTCTGCCAGAACTTGAGGATCTGTGGCATGAACTGAGGATATGCCCTGGCCATTCTAACCTGATCACTAAGGTTTTCAATTTCCTCAAAGATCTGCTCAAAGAATATGATGTGCAGGTTGTCGATATAGTTCGGTTCCAGCTCCTCCAAAGGTGGGCAAGTATATTGCTGGGCCTCCAAAGCGTCCTTGTAAAAGGCAGTATTGTGCATTTGAGACATGCTTAAAGATTTTCTATAATAATTTTTTTTTTGGTAAAGAAGAATGTGATGCTTCCTTGAAGGCTGCTGTTGCTTGAATGTGCTGATGGTAGGCGGCAACTTGGATTTTTATGCAAATTTAGGTAGTTGATTAGGGAGTGATAGCAGGTAGTTGGGCCAGGATTAGACTTTGTCCTTATCTTTGGCCCAGCGATATAGTTGGGCTAATCCTTTTTTACCAACAACAGCTGCGCTAGCTTTCTCGTAAATAGTACTACCTGTACTACCTGATCTGGAGGATCGTGCCGTGATTTGCGCGTACCTCATAAATCGCCCCTTGCGCACTACACTGCCTGCAATTTGTAAGCTAAGGAAAAAACTAACCCTATCTGTACAGTTATCGCGACGGAGAGTCTCGCTAGTTTGCATATTACACGAACGCAGACGTGTTCCCAGCTACCACCTCAACTCCCTGCTCCAGACTAGAATCTTGGCCGGATGCGTTGGACAAAACGTGGCTAGCATTTGGCTTGGTTGGGCTTCTAGGAAATGCTAACAACGGCAGCAGCAATCGTCGTATGAAAAGAACAGTCAGAGCCACAGAATGGATTCTGTGAGCTTCAACGATCTAATAATCAAAGTTGTGTATTTTTTTCCCTGGCAGCTTAGCGAGCGATTAGAGGAATCACAATTGGTAGCAGAAGTACACTTGGAAAAATTATTCAAATTAGTAGAGTAAAATGGATCCCTTAAAATGAAGTACAGACAGGACTGATAAAGTTTTGTACATAACAAAAATGTTAAGATAAGTTTAAAAAACATTTAAAGCTAACAAAAAAATGTAAGAAAATTCTAAATAATTTCTTTTAGTGCCCAAGAAGGTTCACACCATTTCTTGGCCAAACTTTAGACAGTTTCCCTCCGTTTCTCATTGATAATTTTTTTTTTGGATACCCCGTTGTTGTCAATTGTCGTTGGGTTGTCTTTTGTAAGGGACTAATGGCATTGTTGTCAGCCTTGTTTGTGCCTCTATGGCCTGTCAAAGCATAAAACTCCGGAACAGACAATGCTGACAATCTTGACCGGGAAGGCAACTTAATGTCTATATAATGCACATTTATGTTTTGGCCTGGTTGGTGAAAATATTTTCATTTGTTCATATTTTTCAACAAGTTGTTCGGTACAACCCCCCCCCCCTCAAACTCATATTCATAAATTCTCAGCATTTTTTTTTTTTTTGGTTTTTCATTTTGGGAAAAACGTTGCTTCACACGAGATTTGGAAACGGATTGGGGATCTCTCGCTGTCTCACTCTGATGCAAATGCACTTGTCTCTGGTTTTTTGGTTATAATATTTTTTTGGTTTGTTATTTGACTGTCTTATCTGAGATCAGTGTCGATCAAGGCAGCAGACGAATTGTGAAACATGACATGAGGAGTATGAGCTTGAGATGTGTATGCATACGATGGGGAGGGACTCGAGACTGTTTTAATAATTTTGACGTAATCACATCACAACAATCTACCGTGGAGTCTGTTGTCTCTTTGACTTTGCCTCGGCTCCCAAGTGGACAGTTCTCTTTAGCCTCGATCTCACTCGATCTCTGATTTGTTCATTTAAATGAATTACAATATTTTATCTTTACACAGAGATCGTTGGAGCCTAAAAGGCTGTTTCTCTGTGTCTTTATTTTCAGGTAAAAGTACAAAAAATCAAAAAGTATGTGAACTTTCCAGGTCAGCTGTCTGAAATTCCTTTGGCCATAAAAACCCGGCAAAATACAAAAGGATCAGGGGGAAAAAAAACAAAAACAGCTGCCGCTGCTAAATCAGGTAAATCCGCTTTTGGCCAAATTACTTCACACCTCCAAACACGATTGGTAGCTGCCGAGATTAAACCAAAAAAAAAAAATATAAAGGTAAGTGCACGTTTTTTAATTCATTTGTTCTAAAACTTAATCAGCCAGCGGAAAAGAAGAAGACTGCGTTTTTGGGCAGAGACAAGAAGTCGTGATTGCGCAACTCATAACTCACACAGGCCAACTTGAACTTGGCTTTCCTTGTTCGTTTTTTCACTGCTGCTGCTGCTGCTTACATTGTTTAATTAAAAACGAGGCTGTTGTTGTTGCTGCTGCTCTTGCAACACGTACCAAGATGATGACAACAACTGCAGCAGCAGCAACAGCAGCAACATCAAGACACACTCTTCAGCTGAAGGGGCAGCACTTCAAGTGGCTCAAAAGGACGACACGTTTTGGCTTCTGTTTAGAGCTGTGTTGTTAGCTGCGGTTTGCAGTTGCATTTCGCAGTTTGCAGTTTGCAGTTGCTGCTGCCGTTTGCCTTGGTGAAGTGGAAAGCAGTAGCTGCAACAGCAGCCACAAGAGGCGCACCACTTGCCACAATTACCGTGCCGGGACTTTCAGCAAAACTCCGGAGTCTGTCTGCGGCGGCTGCTTAATTTTCAGACAGCCTGCGATTATATTGCTCTAGAAATATACGAAAATGATGGTTGAGATACTCTCTATGGAAAGGGTATAATGAAATGGAAGAGTAGTTTGAAGTATGAATCAAATTTTAATATTAAACAAGGATTTAGATTGCTTTTCCAAAAGATTTTCCACAAACGGCATAAGAGGAAGTTCAAAAATGTTCGATAGAAGTTTACTTAAGAACATTTTCCTTACATTTCCCTACAGCTTGTAGCACTAAGACTAGCTAAGATTTAAGTTTTAGTTGCAAATATGATATGCAGTGCATATCTAATTCGTAGATACGAATCCCCAACTCCTTTGTATCAGCGCGTGGTGTTTATAATTCGCGAATCATGTTGCATTGTTCGGGGCGTCTGGCGGAGCTTTAGCTTCGGGTGATTCTGTTTCTGTTTCTGTTTTCGGTGGCGGTGATGATGAGGAGCTTCACTTTTATGGGGGCCCCTGGACGGGCACCTGGATGGTGCCCCCGGATGATGGGGCACATTTGCCGATGTGGACTTGAACTTGGCTCCTGTGAGCTCGGCTCGCCTTTAACAATGACAATTGTTAGTGCAGCAAGAACCATGGCTGGTTCGGCTGCTGATTATTTTGACTTGATAACGAGCTAAACAATAAAAACAAGCATCAGTCCAAACAAACTTTTCGCCAAGTCATGTTTATCAGAAGACCAAGACAGGATTCATCCTCAAAGAAGGTACAGAGTGACTGCATGTGTGTGTCTGTTTAATCAATTTGAATGCCTTGGGGGTTTTCTTTTTTTTGGTTGAATTCGAGTTTGTTTTGCTGCTTGTTTGTTGTGATTTCTTAAGTTGTTGCAATTATGTTCGGTCTGTCGCGGATGTATTCTGCATAAAAGTGAAAACTAATTGACGTGGGGAATGGGATTGGAACAATCAAGAAATTAACATGTTCTCAGGTGTGGACTTAATGGCTTTCTGGTAGCACTTTGTGCCACATTCGACACACGTTTCCTTCTTAAAAGTCGTAAATTGGCGATCCATAAACTACTGGCCAGGCCAAACAATAAGCGGCTAACAATCGGCTAACAAAATGTAGAGCGTTACAAACTCTGATGATCATGAACTCCTTTGTTGGCTTAAAACTCAAAAGGCGATTTGCATAAGAATGCAACCAACCTGCGATAGTAGCCCAACATTTTTCACCTGCATTTAGTCACAAAATGCTCCTCGGCCATAAAGTAGTAATGTCCCCCATCTAGCCCCAGAAATTATATCTCCAACACTTGATGTTGTCCCCTCCAGATGAAGTGTATTGTTTGGCCTCTAAAAACGGGCGGATATCTATTGTATCCACTGATGAGATGATATTTATTTTAGTGCTATTTTACTGCAAATTGTTTTGCTTCTGAATGTCCAAACTATCGATCGGAGATTTCAATTCTATGGAGCTTTGATTGCCTTGCTTCTGAATGTCTTAACTATGGGTTAGATTTCAGCTCGTTATATAGATAGTTTCTTAAGTGATCTTTTGAAGTCTTGGCGATCATTTTGGTCACTTGTTTTGGGGCTGGAACTTGAAAAGTTGGCATTAAAAAAATCTAAAATTGTTTTATAACTTTCTGCATAGCCCATATCATACATAACTCATCTGCATTTCTTCCACTTTCAGTTCCCTCTTCCAGTGTTCGGTTTCAATTACTCACCCACAAAATTCCCAAGAGACCCCACAGACAGCGGTCAACCCCTTGGCCCTCCTCACTCTGCTTATTTTATGTTTTCGCCTTCGTTTATCATTGTACACTTGACTTGACCTCCCAATCCAATTCATAAATCAACAAATCATTAATTTTTCACTCCTCCAACGAAAGAAAACTACACGCTTGAGTACCTCACTTGGCCAAGTTGGAAAACCACACCGAGATCATTTCGAACAGGGGGAAAAATGAGAACCTTTTCTCAGTGGGAAATCTTGGCTCCCACAATTAATCAAAGTGAAATTCAGAGTTGAGGCAATGAAATGGAACACGCACACCCAGTTAATTTGTTTATTGATCCATTGTGTTGAGTTCTCGTTATATATATATAAAGCGTAGAATAATTGAACATGCTAATTAAATGTGGGATTCTTCAGGGGATTCATTTCGTCATGGAAATCCATAAGCTGTGACCCCCACTACTGGTGCCTTGTATCCTGTCGGCTCTTTAAGATCGCGCATTCCTTTTCTCTTTCTTTTTTTTTTCAACATTCTGCGGCATGCTACGTAAGATCGCTTATCGGAGGTTCTTAATAAATATCAGTGCAAGGCGATAGCACTCACACTATTTATTATACAAACATATTGTAGATTGGCCGCTTATCGTTGCATATGATCAGCCGAGTGTATCCCTGCCACAGACTTTCGATCCGGCCAACGATCGACCGATCGACGACCATCGACGATCGTCGATCGCCGATTGATTGATAATAGCACGAGATGCTGTATTACTATATGGCAGAACGGGTTAGCTGAATGGTAAAAAGAGCAAACAGAAAACTCATTAACGCAATAATTAAGACGACAACAAGGTTTTTAAGATAACAGACAGCAGACAGAGACAACGACATGCTACAGGGTATACTTTTTTTTTTGGTATGCCTACACTGGGAAATTAGCAAATATGCTTATCAAATGGTATTTTATAATGACTAATTAAGAAATAAAGTTAAGTAGAAAGGCAGTTTAAGGTCTTGATAGATATGTTATATTTGGCTATACTTTTGAATTTCCTTTTGACAGATTTTTGGTTTTTTTTTCTAAGTTTTCCTTATTTTTGAGTGCTTTTCTTATAATCATTCACTTATCTTTTAATACTTCAATACTTGCTTACTTAGTTTAAGATTAGATAACACTACTTTCGAATGTAAATATGCCATTTCCCTCAATTCATCATTTCCCTATTTACTAAATACAAACCAGAGAAATGAAAATGAAATTCCCAACTTTAAAGCTTAGAAAATCCCCAACTTAGTAGGTAACCTTAGATAACACTTTTATTTCCCAGTGTAAGGCGAATCCCCATTACGGATCTGGGCCAGACTCTCCGACGCTGACGGGCTGCTTAGGCATTTGTCCTGAAGCGGGACACGCGGCATTGACTCTGTCACTGTCTCGTACCTGCCCTCGGGCCAGATGTGATAATGATAAAGGGCTGCTACATCAATCGCTGACA